CCCGTCCCCAGCCCTAACCTAAAGAAAAAGATAAGGACTTCCATTGTCTTTAAGCTAATTTGGAGGGAGAAAATAAGAAATTGGGTTATAAAATGTGAGAAAATATGAATGTCATGTAACATAAATCTCCACAGGAAAGCACCAATCATAAACTATTTTGGTCTATTTCTAACACCATGTCCAAAGGGCATTCTAACAAATGAAATAAAGAGAAATAACTCTGTCTGGAAGTGAATTACTTGCATTTATCTCACCAATCAGTCTGTATAACTTTTGGTTGCAGCAAAAGTCAAAGGGAGATGGTCAGTACAGTGCTTGCCACACAAGCAGGAGGACTTGAATTGTATTCCCAACACTCATATAAATGCCGGGTGTACCTGTATTATCAGCACTGGGGAGATGGAGCCAGGAGACCCCTAGAGCTTGTTGGCCAGCCGGTCTAGCTGAATCTGAGCTCCATGTTCACTGTTTTGAGGCTCCTGCCTTAAAAAGTAAGTTGGAGTGCAGCGGAGGAAGACAGTGTTGACATCTGGCCTATGCACATATATAAACAAGTCAAAGGATTTACCTGTGATATCAGAAGGAAGGAAAAAAACTGAATTAAGCATGTGTACACTATAGCACTAAACAGTACAAATGTAATGACTGGTTATTTGAAAAAATGATCAGAAAAGATCTAGGACTGAAAAGTACAGTCTTAACCATAGTTACCAGTGGCTCACTCTTAATCACTGACATCTATTGAATGCCTTCATGATGTAAGGTGTATGTGAGCAGGATCTCCTGTAGTTCCCAGTTCCCCTTACACTGAGGGATTTCCCTTAAGGTTGATGGAGCAGTTTCTGGGGCATTTGACATTGTTTACCTTTCTGAGTTCTTCATTTTGTCTTTAGCTCTGTCACCTTGTTCACACTACGGCATGCCACACAGTGGGTTAGATCAGCTTCTACTCAGGAGTCTTCCTGTGACTGCTCTGTTCCTGTTTTCTTCATAGCTACTTCCTGACAGCGCTGTCAATCAATGAGGATCTGCTTCTTTTGTCTCCCCCTTGGATGCTGGTGCTCTTCAGGCTTTCTGCAGGAGAACTTGTCTTTGTTTAACTCCCCTCTTGAGTCATACCCAGGTTCCTCATGCATTTTCTGTCTGCCTCTATGTCCCACCCTATATCAAAAGTCATTTTCAAAACTGCAGTTGCCTGTGTCTTATAAAACCTTCTCTTTTTAAGTTCTGTCTTAGTTCTCTGATTCACCAAACAGAAGCATAAACTGCATCTTTATTTCTGTCTTCATACCCGATGGGCTGCAGCCAACATCCCATTTGCCTGCTGCCCTAGTTACAGGACCCACTTATCTGTATTTACTTAGTTTCCTAACTCATCTGTTTGTTTCCTTGTTCCTAATCCCTAAAGCCTGTGCCAGGGTGACTTCCAAAGATAATTTAATACTACTACATTATGTAATTATTTATAAATCGCTAATGTACATAGGGAAAATTCCAAACCTCTTAACATGGTTTACGTAATTCTTCATGATTCTTCGTCCCCATCTCCATCTTAGCTCTTCAGGTTGGTAACCTTCACTCTAATATGAGCCATAATATGATTTATCAGGGCTGGAGAGATGGCTCAGCGGTTAAGAGCACTGACTGCTTTTGCAGAGGACCCAGGTTCAATTCCCAGCACCCACATAGCGGCTATGAACTGTCCTTAACTCCAGTTCCAGGGGAATCCGAAGCCCTCTTCTGACCTCCTTGGCATTGCATGACATGGGTGTACTCACATACATGCAGGCAATATACTCATACACATAAAAAATATTAAAAAATATGATTTATCCTCATCAAGCACATTTCTCTCTTAATCTCTTGATAACCAACCTTAGCCCTGGCCTCTGGTTAGGAAATTGACTAACTGATGGTACTAGCTCATCTCTTTACCAAAAGCCCATGAACCAGGCCAACACTTGACCCAAGATACACTAGTTTGATTTCCTCTCAAATTTGTTATTATTGGAAGGCAGTTTGAGTATGATG